AAACACCAATGTTCGCAAATCGTAAGAGAATTTCTTGCGAGTGCCTCACGCTATTTAAATACCCTTTGATCATACGAGAGAACATCAAGAAGAAGATATTGCAGTGAAAAAGTTTATAGCATATAATAGACTGTAATTACGTTGGTTAGGTTTTCTGTTAGGTTAGGTTAGGAACATGTGTGCATTACACTGGGATATTATTCATTTAAAAGCTGTGGAAATTATATATCTGAATCTATAACCAAACATCCACCAAAAAATCACTCATGTTTCGTCATATTCTCTCAAAAGTTATTGCACTCTCTCTCGCTGCTCTCCTTCTGCCTTTGTTTCTGTAAAAACATTTCCAATTATATTTCCCGTTTATATAAAATACATATAGATTTATAGACCCCATATATACACCCCTTGTGGGAGGCGTGTCATGGATGGATGTAACAGGCGACATGTACAAGATTCCGCATTGTCTGCTGCTTGACAGCTTTTAATTAATGTTTTTTAATAAAACCAAAAATGGATTTAATGTCAGTCGAGTGGAAATAAAAAGCAGGAAGAAAGTTGGGGCTGCAGTTAAGAGTCAAGGTGGATTCACATGATGAATAAGAAGAGGCAATCATGTTGGGAGAGAGCTAAAACCACAAAACAATCAAAATCTGATCCAGTTCATAACCGAAATTTGGGTCAAAATACGAAGCCATTTGGAAATTACAGCAATTTGAAACTGCAACAATGTAAATACCTTTGCACCACACCCTCCCTCCCCTCCCGCAGCAAGTGCAATTGAAAACCCGCAAAAAACAAAAAACGTAGAAACAAAAACCCAGTGAAAGTGCGGACAAAAGCAAACAAAGCAATTAAAAGCCACAGAAGCAACAAGTGCCATAATAAAACAACAAAAGTTAATCAACAACAAAAAAAACCAAAGCTTCGAAATTAAAGAGAAACTGCAGCAAAAACTGCAGAAGAGTAGAGATAACACAAACAAAAGAAAACAAAGAGATACGCCAGCCTTCCAGTTCCCTTCAGACTAAGCGAGTGTGAAACTGTAGCTGAGCTGTAAAACTGTAAACACTTGCTGTGTAATTTACAAGGCTGCCGACAGCTTCGCCTTGGGGCAGAAATGGCAACCAAAGTGGAGAGTGGCATTACGCAGTCTACTGTCTACTACTCTCGCTCTCCTTTCTTTCTATCCCGCTCTTGCTCAAAGCATGGCTATAAAAGCGAGCTTCAAAGTTCTCCTTACTCTTCCACACTCAATACAAAGCTTAAGCGTCATCCTATCTCTCTCTTTCTCTCCGCAAAAACCTAGCGGTAAAAGCAAGCTTCAATGCTTTTAAGCACTTGTTGAACAGCTCAACGGCTACTCAACGGAATCCTAATTAGTGTATTTTATGTGCAAGCCAGCTTTTGCCTCGTTTAGCCAGTACTCAAGAGGAGGATGCAGCAGACACGCTGTCGTCTGGACAGGTGGATCAACTGGCTCCTCGATAAGGAAAGACGGGGCGACGGCACTCTCTCGGCTGGAGATGACAGCTGGCTCAGATCTATGGGGAATCTGGTTTCTGTCTGTGTGGAAATTGAACAATTTTCCCAGTGCATTTAACTAAACGTTTATGATATGATGAGATTTCAAGTGCAATTAATTGGGCTCTAACTAAATGGAGTTTCCGGCTAAGATAGATGAGTTTTTGCAGACGATCCATGAGGTGCGAGGAAAGAGTATTATAGAGGGTATGGTTACAGTTGAAAGAAAGACAATTGTAGAATCTCCGAAAGAATAGATCATAACAGAATATCTGTCATGACCTTGTACCACACAATTCTCAGCCAATTTGGACATTCGCAAACATCTCTCGAGACATAAACCCATTGTATAACATAAAACTTAATTGAAAAATTACTTGACCAAAAAAACTGAAATACAAAATCCCCCACGAGTCACATAATTACGTAATGCCACCAGCCATAACTATTGTCTTCAAGTAAATGCCACTTCAACAAAACATCCCACAAACATCCGTCCACAGCCACTCAAAATTGTCTACGGACCGATCAAGAAGTTACCAAGTGGCTTTGTTCTTCTCTCTCTCTCTATTCTCTTCTTTTTTTTGAGTTAGCTCTGTTTGGGCCCGACTCGAATCAATAATTTAATTGACCCACTTTGCGCCTTGATTCGAGCAATAACTTTTCGAGAGTGAAGCTAATTGCTTAGAAGGCTCTGGGCTCTGGACTCTGAGCTCTGGGCCCTGGGTCTGGTTTGCGTTTCGTGTCGATTGGGCAAAGTTTAGCCATAGAAATGGCAACATTTTGAACAACAACAAAGTGAAATTTGGGTTAAGCGTAGTCCGCGCTCGAAATGGGGTTGATGGCTCCCGCCCGTCTGAAGCGTTGGCAACTTTGTTGATTTACGGTAAATACTCGGTAGTAATAGAACAAAGTGCAGCACAAACTGTAGTGGAAGTTTAGTTTCAAGAACAGTAAAGTAACTTTTCCAAAAGAACTGGGAAAACTGTGATTAATGCTGCGTTTCGAAACCGTTGAAGGTCGTTTGTGGTTTAAAAAATTTTCCATTTCGAGTTAAAGGTGTGTACGTGGCAGCTGATTCGGAAGTTTTGAGTGGCATATGAATTGATTGATTGCTCTTATTTGGCTTCAACGAACTAGTCATGGCCCGAATGTGGTCAAAATGAACGAAACTTGGCCAGAAACTTCTGTATAAACTCTGTTCTGAAGTTGCTCCTGCTTCAGTAAATCCCATTGGGCATATGTCAATGCCAATGCCATGTTACCGTCACACAAAGGACAGCTGTAAAACCAAAAAAAATTTCCATGTAATAATTCCAGATTTCGCTTGGCTTACCTTTGCCCTTTTTCGAGTGGGACCCACCCACATGACCTTGCTCTTGACAGGCAGCCAAAGCCGACTCTCAACCCCGTTTCTATAAATAGATAACAGCGTCTATGCAGCTCCCTCTGACGCACGGAGGAAAACGAAAAATCAATAAAGGATGCTGCCTGCAGTGCAAACTCCCAAAATGCCATCGAAATTTCCCCATTTATTCGTATCAGGGTCAGCATTTCTAATTGGCAACAGGTTGAGTCATCAGGCTAGACTTTTAAACGGGTTTCCTCATCATCAGTATACACGCAAAAGTCTCCCCAAGATCATCATCAAGTTTCCAAGTAAAGTGTGAACAAGAAATGTACATATATTATATATATATATTATTATTATGTATCTTCTCTCTGCGATGAGTCAGGGCCACAAGTCAAGAGAAATTGTATTGTTGTTTTGCGAAAATTATGGAAAGTCCTTGAACCCTAACGAAAGAGTATAGAGAGAGAGACAGAAGCCCACATAACTAATGAAAACTAGATAATTGCTGAAGGCCTGGGCCAAAAGCAACGCTTGATGTGGCGCTTTGGGTTCATTCACATTCGCGCTTTTTTGGCCATGTTTATCTGTGTGGGTTGGAACCAACTCCGGCATTGTCTTTGCTCCAAAGAGCGACTCTGTCCATGACTGTATTTGATTCTAAGAGTGGTTCATGTCAGTTCTTTCGTGTGTTGTCAAAAGTCAGACCATTTAATCAATCTGAAGCAATCTTATCTATCAGAGTGCTTCGCGCTTGCTCATGAGCAAAAACAACAAAAAATGACGCAAATTCTGTTTCCAGTGGGGAAAAATCACCGAATAAATAATGTGGAATTGCCTAAAATGCATTTATTTGTTTACCGCTTCAGGAACAATTCCAATGGCATACAACACGGAAACGAAATAAAATCCAAATGCAAATAAAAATTTCTATTGAGTTTCTATTGCTTTGCGATTCGTGCCTTTGTTGACAGAAACCCAGGAAAAACGTAAATGAAGCGTGGCGAAGACAAGTATATAACTGTTTATATTGGCCAGTTCGCAGAAAAGGTGCGCAGTTTAAATGTTTAATGAGATAAGTGCTTGGAAAAATGTACTCCTCACTGCACATGATTATCGTTTCTTTGGCTAATTTTTGGTACTAGAGGGGCTGGTATTGCTAGAACTAACAGTCCGCTCGAAGAATGTTAAAACTAAGGATGGCAAGCTACAATCTTCCCCGTCGGGTCCCCTTGCATGCGGCGTTAAACGGGGAAGAAATAGTAGAAGTCGAAGGCATCAAAGCTGGCCCCGCAGAAATCAGAGGAGGAAGATTGCTGTGGCTTTCGAACTGATCGTAGCTCTATCTGTTGTTCTTGAACTGATTATAGTGCCCATTCTGATGCTACTCTCAAACTGTTCAGTTACCTGACTGCAGAGGTGTGGCTCTTAACTGCTGACGATCTGCAGAGGTGTGGCTCTTAAACTGCTGACGGTTCCCATAACGATGTGCATCTCAAACTTACAAAATACGCAATTTTGTGAAATCAACTAAAAATGTTAGTCCGCAAATATATCATTATTTCAAAAAGTTGAATTTAGAACGATTTGATATCAGAAAAGCTGAAAACTCTTGAAGTGAAACAGTTTGAAGTGATACAGTTTGGCAAATACGGCTTTCAAACTACAGATAAGCGTAGGTTTGGCGAAATTCAAAATTAACGGCCCACACACACAAGCAGGCCCTGTGGAACAGCAGACAAAAAGTAAAACTGGTTTGTTTCCAACAAGAACAAACCAAAACGCAGCCACACGAGAGCGAGAGGACAACAGTAGGAGGGGCTGTTAATGCTGCTGCAGCTGACGCTGGGCGTGTGCGTTGGCGTTAGCTTTGACGTCGCTGCTGACGCCAGTTTCTACGTTTGGCTGCCCATGACCATGCAGTCGTCCGTCAAAAAGCAGAGACAGATAGTGCAAAAGAGAGAGAAAATGAGATGGCAAGAGGGGCAAGAGGGCGAAGCAGGGGCGATAGATTACATAAAACAGCCGTGCTAAAGACAGAACGAAAACTCACACACGCACACACACAGACACCTTGCGCACGCTGTTATACAGTTTTAGACTCACTGGGTACAACTCTACTTACGTTTCCGCGTCCTTGGGAACAATCTGCTCCGCATCGACAGTCTGCTGCTCCGTTAGCTCCACGTCCATATCAGAGGTCGACTCGGTTTCCTCGCGTTCGCTGTCGCTAATCTCAATGACTTCTTCGTCCATGCGGCTCTCTGGCTCCAGCACAGCAACACCAATGTCTCCCAAGCTGGCGCGTTTTGTTGTACGTTTGTTGGTTTTGTTAATTTTACACGTTTTCCACGGCTCCCCTCTGTACTTTTCTTTTTGCGTCAGTCCTCACACCTTTGCTACGTGCCCGTGTTTGCCGTTTGCCTGTGTATGTATTTATTTCAACACGCGCCCGCGATAGACGATTTCCGCTGGTTTTTTTCCACTAATTTTTTTGTTTGTACTGCTGCAGCCGTAGTCTTTTCTGTATCCGCGGGTTTACACAATTGTAGAGATACTCAGTGTGCCTGCATTATTTATTATTATTATTTTTAAAATTTGAGACGGACGACCAAATGACAAGCAGCGTGTGACCGCGGACCTATAGATAAGATATACGGTCTGACTCTCAGAAATATACCAATATATACAGTCTCATTTTTAAAATATACCATAAAATATACTGACGAATTATCCGTCGTACATATTCCTTGTTTTTGATATTCCGTCAAATATTGTTATCTAGATAGAGCCCTTAACCCTTGCCACATAATTTTATTCGAGTAATGATTCGATTTTCTACTTGACTGGTTTGTTTTAAATACTTTATATTTGTTTGCCTGGTACAGGGTTTGCTTTGATTGTTTTTGCCTCACTTTTGGTGCCTCAACAACAAATTACCGTCTCGTATGTCGATAAAAAGTCGAGCTTAACCCATTTAACCCCGCTCTATTTAAACAGTTGAACGACTTGAGGTAAATGGCGGCAAACATTACGGATTGTAAATTCTTCTCGTAGATCCATGCCATCTTTCCTCTGAACTTGAAAAGAACCACGATATCTTTCACCTGAACTGCGCTAAAATTATTCCATTTTCATTATTTTCGGTGGAATATTAAAATACCCCCTTGGCTTGCAATGGGTTAATCGATCTCTGCTGGACAGGATCCTCACCCCTGAACACATAATTTTAACCGTTAAATAAATCAATTTTCCTACTAGACCGGCTAATTTTAACAAGTTTGTTTTATTTAAGCCTTTATTACTAACTACATTTTGATACATAGTAACTACATATTTATGTATTTGAGCATGAAATATAACGTAAGTGGTATTATATGTTACGTCATTTCGTAAATGTTGCCGGTATTTGAACACTTGCTTGTCAACCGTCAGTATAGACAGTTGAGTACTCTATTTCCTTGGAAGTCAAAAATTCGTTGAAACGGTTTTATAACAGAGACTGACTAGTTTCTGCATTCAGTGGAGCCTCAGATCACAAGCATTTTCAGACTTCTATAATATGTATACTTATTCCCAGGGCATGCGGAATATTGTTCATTCTGTGCCCACGTTGCGAGACAATTTCGCTTTTTTCCGAAATAAAATATATGATGTTATATTGATTGAATACGTAAATACACATATGTTAATTATACTACAAAAAATATAAAATATTACAAGAATAAAATTTCACATTTGTATCCTTTTTGTAGGCAGGTTGATTCTAAATCATATATGGACTTCTTTGTTTTTTATATATCTAAGAAAAAATATATGTACATACATACCATTCCTTGAGCATCTTGAGCGCAGATCAGCTAGCTTCCCAAAATGCTGATCGAGCATTCCATTCTCCCGTTTGGTATGGTAACACACCATTTATCTAAAATATTCGAATAGGAGTTATATCTTCATCCTAATACAGTAATCGTATTCATGGGAGATTGCAGTAAGGTCACTATTATGGCTTTTTGGTAAGTGGCACGTGTACCTGCATCGTAAGCTCTTCACTAACACTACACTCGAACGTACGTACACACACACTGTTAGTTCAGTGTGCCGGAATAAATCGGTTCATATGACCGTACAACAGTAACAGCGCCCGACATCGGCAGTCCATGCTCAGTGCGATTATAGACACTGCAGACAAAGGTTGTATTAATTTTGATCGCGCATAAACAAATTATTATTATAATGATTATAAATTAATAATTATTATAAAAATCATTCATCATTCCCGACCACCGTGTACCCATTTCCGACGCAATCCGCGTAAATTAATAATGAGATCAAGAAAAAAAAATCCGACCTTTTTTGTGTATATATGTAAATAGAAAATTACCCAACTGGAATTCCAGGTGCAACGCGATAATTAGATGGAAACCTGTAAAAAAACGCGCAGATTTTGAATATATCGCCTAGAATATACCGAACACAAGTGAATACTAGTATACAGTAGTATACAGTATACTCAGTGAACACCGGGTACAAAAACGCTACCAAAGCCCGCATCTGGCAAATGTTCAGGCTTTGATTAACGACATTCATATCGGAAGCTGTGGCTATTAAAAGTATTTTTGTATGGGTGCTAGTATAGCAAGAGCAAGTGAGATTATGTTAAGTGATGTCATTAAGGGCTCTGCATATATATATATGTACATATATGAAATTAAATGCTTTTAAATGCAACACGATTTCAGGCAGATTCACAATTCCATGGCCGCAATATTTTGTCAGTTGTTGAATGGCCAGTCCTAGTAAACAATTAGCAAGCCTTAAATCCAGATAAGTTTATCACTCGGGTGGCTGCGAAAAAAGATATAACTATAATTAGCTACTCGCAAATAGTCTGATCTTAGAGCAACTAAAAGCGGAACAGGGAGATTGTCGTCTGTCCAGACGGGCACCCAATACGATATACCCCCGAAATCTGTAGATAATAGTTTTATAAACGCGAAACGAAACTGTTGACTAAACAATGATGTACATGCGTACCATTAAAGATAAAAGGAACAGTTACAAATTAGCATGCTTGTGTTAAAATAATGAACATCTCCACTCTCATTCCCCGGCAGCTAAAAGATGCGAGCACACTGGGTTTTCTGCTTGCTTGCCATTCTCCTGGCCTACCGTGCTCAGGGGAATCCGATTGATCGCAAGGCAAAGGTGGCCACGGAGTTTATCATCCTGCACAATAATGATATGCACGCCCGGTTCGAGCAGACGAACGTGAACAGCGGCACCTGTTCCCAGGAGGACGCCAACACGGACAAGTGCTATGGAGGATTCGCACGAGTGGCCTATGAGTGAGTAGGAAGAGTCTATATCTGGAACAAACAGCTAATATAGTCCTCATCTATAAGAGTGCGGAAGTACCGCCAAGAGGCGGCGGATGGAGGAACACCTGTCTTTTACCTCAATGCTGGGGACACTTACACGGGAACGGCGTGGTTCACCATCTTCAAGGACAAGATCGCCAGCGCCTTCCTCAACAAACTCCAACCAGATGTTATTGCAAGTGGAGAGCACAAGATCTGCTGAATCTGAAGATTTAATCTGTATTCTGAATGTTGTTTTTCCAGTCCCTGGGTAACCACGAGTTCGATGAGAAAGTCGAGGGTCTAATACCCTTCCTTAACGAGGTCAACTTTCCCGTGGTGGCCTGCAATCTGGATCTTAAGAATGTCCCCGAGTTGGCTGCCACCAAAAATTTGGTCCACTCTACGATCCTGGAGACGCAGGGCACCAAAATAGGTGTTATTGGCTATTTGACGCCAGATACTAAGAGGCTAACTGTCATGATGGATGTGGAGTTCTACGAGGAAGTGGTTTCCATTAAGTGAGTCTGATCTTGACTTAATTTTGACTATTTTTCTACACTAAATTGAGAGAGATTGCGGTCTGCGTTGTCACTCCGTCTGAGTCAATTCTTCTTTCCAATTCTTTAATTCCTAACAATTCTCTCTGTTGACAGCGCTGAGGCGAAAAAGCTCAAGGCTCAGGGCATTAAGATAATCATTGCCTTGGGTCATTCTGGATATCTGAAGGATCAGGAGATAGCCAAGAACTGCCCGGAAGTGGATATTGTGATTGGCGGCCACACCAACACTTTCCTCTACAATGGAGCCCAACCCGATATAGAACACATCGACGGTCCCTACCCCACGGTGATCAAGCAAAAGAGCGGCAAGGAGGTGCTTGTGGTGCAGGCTTATGCCTATACCAAGTATCTGGGAAAAATCCATGTGCAGGTGGGTGCCATAAATATCGCATGAGGGAAATCGGGTAATTCTGTATATTTCCAGTTCGACGCGGAGGGGAATCTGATTGAGTTCGACGGAGCACCGATACTGCTGAATGCCTCCGTGGCACAGGAACAGGATCTCCTGGACCTGCTGGAGGTGTACAGACCCAGCGTGATCAATCTGGAGAAGGCGGTGGTGGGCCACTCGAAGGTCCACCTGGAGGGAAGCAAGCAGGTGTGCCGCGACAGGGAGTGCAATCTGGGGAACATGCTCACCGATGCCATGGTCTTCAGCAGGGTTCGCGAGGAGCAGGGCGGCGACTACTGGACGGATGCGGCAATCGCTATTATGAACGCAGGCGGTTAGTCCAATGCTTATGTGCCCCATTTATTATACTTGAGTTCCTTCGACTTGCAGGCATACGCAGCTCGATCGAGAAGAAGTTCGACGGATCCATCACTGACAGCGATATACTGGCCGTCCTGCCCTGGGAAAATGACCTCTACATATCCCGATTATCTGGCAAGACGATACGCAATGCCCTGGAGCACGGGGCGGCTGCCCGTGGCAAGGACTCGGACGGGCCCTTCTTGCAGGTCTCCGGTATCCACGTGGCCTACGATCCCAGCAAACCCGAGGGCCAGCGTGTCCTGTCGGTGCAGGTTCGATGTGCCGCCTGCCGCATTCCCACCTATAGCGACCTCGACGATGCGGCTTTCTACAATGTGATTGTCCAAGAGTTTATGTTCGACGGCGGCGATGGTTATGTCTTGAAGGAGGCCAACAACACCCAGCATCAGCGCTTGCAGAAGAAGGACAGTGAGGCAGTGAAACAGTATCTGCAGGAAAGGCAATACATATATCCAGAGGTGGAAGGTCGCATTATATTCAAGGGGCGCTGCTAGTGGACTCCTGGCCTCCACGTCCCTGCTCTTGTTCTCCTCCTTGGTGATGCGTTTCCTTAGTTAACCATTTGTATCTGTTTTTAATCAGCTGTCACCCAGCTGGCCCCATAGAGGCGAAAGGCGGTCCAAAATCGCTTTGGAACAATGATTGAAGCAGCTGGTGGGCAAATTATTCCCAAAAATATCGCAGTGCCATGCACGTGAGCGATTGCTCACTGATCAGTGATTTTCGATTTAAAATTGAGCAATTAAATATGAATTTAAATCCAATCATGTCTAACAAATTGGTAGTTCCATTACTTCATATGTACTCGTAAATAGGTCTATGGATGGTAAAAACCGTGGCTGCAATTTGGGGCTCTAAAAATTAAGGGCACTTCGGACGCTTGAGATTGATTTGTTACATCGAATTTGGCTAATACAATTTCAAATATACAAATATATATATTTTAAAAACCCATTGACTGTTTAGGATAGTGTTCCATAGACTTTGAAGACAGCTCGATAGATGCCGCTTATAAACCAATGGAATTCCACAAGGTAGTCACCTTCCGGAAAGGGCAATATAGCTGTTGCTTGATGATTGATAATGCTGGTAGGCAGCTTATCGACAAAAATATAGCCCTGAACGTAAATGGGGATTATAAATATAGAGTATAAACGTGCTGGAAGGATCAAAAACTCACATTGTAGGGACATGGGTGGCTAAAATTAGTGCTGTTTCCAAGAAAGCCAAAAAAGTAATTTGCGACGGGATTACCCCTACCATTTTTCATGAATTTGCATCCATCAACCGTGAAATTGTAGAGGAACGGCTTGTAACCACTGAAGCGTTTGAACATCACACAATTAATCTAAAATATACATAAATATTCGTATATGTATATTGGGAAATATATATGTTGTTGATAATAGAGTATTCGCACCTTTGCATTGGTGATGGGTTGTAGTAAGTTCACTTTTACGGATAGATATTTGTAGGTCCGATTTATTGACTTCAGATTACATTGTTCCACAGCACAGAATTCCTTATCCACACAATTGCATTTGAGGTTGGTAAACTCAAATTTGGACGTGATCTTGTAAATATTTCCACTGATTAAACGATCATTATATGATATGTTGTGTTGCTGGTACATACTTCAGTGAGCAAATAAAGGATCACTAAAACCTGAATCCAGTTCTGCTTAGCGCACATGTTAAGGTTTTGATGGTCCAACGAAAACTAATGCCATATCGCAAGCTTTTTTGGGAAAACATGCAATCGATACTTGCTGATCAATAAGTACCATTCTAAATTGAGCAATTAAATAAGTAATTAAAATGAATGCTAAATCGGTTAGTGCGTAAAAGTTACTCGTAGACATACAATATACAGTATTGATCATTATAAAACCGGGTAAAGTCCGTGAAACTTTCAGTCATGGTATAGATATCCTGACATTCTTCCATTCATTCTTTCAGATAACGAGGAATCGGGCAGTACTACTGGAAAGTATTAGTTGCTCTATTTGTACTTCTAGATTGTTTAGAAATTTGAACTTATGCTTTTCCTGCTTTTGATAGTCATCCGGCCAGAAGAAGCCGTGCAGCAAGCCAGCCGCAGATGTTGAATGGAATCAAAACTGGCACAATAGAAAGCAGAGGAAAGGATCATTGCTGTGGCTTTCAAACTGATGGTACAGTTTCAGAAATATGGTTTTAAAACTGCAAATACCCTGAGAGACACCTGGCGACGAACCGGCATTTAAATACGAGTCATAGGTGGCTCGCTCTTAATCTACATAGTATCTACATCCCTACTACATCAGAATGTAGATTTACGGGCTAACGACATAATTCCGCTTTTTAACGAATGCCATCATATGGGCGCGCTTTTTCAAATCTGAATTATTCCCGGGCAAATATTGACACGTTCTTTGGAATCCGGTAACAAGAAAATAATATGGACCAATTCAAAGCAAACAAATTTAATTTGTAACCGTAATGGCGCTTATAGGAGAATCTTTTGATTTTTTAAGTGATTTAGTATCGAGAAATTGCAGATGGAAGATGAAGGATAACTTTGTAAGTTGATCTTTTCTATTTGCGTTTTTATTTTAATTTATCAATATTACAATAACTTAATGCTATTAAGGTAATATAAATAATATATAATAACACCTATAGTACTCTGCCTGAAGAAAATTAAGCCAAGGAAAATAAATCCAAAGATAAATTTGTACACACCATATGTGTACGTATGTATATGATCTATTCAATAATCCCTCCAATCGATATAGTCGAATATTTCAAGTAAATGTCTTGGAATTTCATATTTACAATCAATTTATTATCAAATTTGCGCTGTCATCAATATTGCACCATCAAAAAGAGAGAAAGAATGAAATGCAGAGAAAGAACAGAACAGAACCCAAAACGATTGTAAAAAGAAAAATCCATACATTCCATACATATATAAAACCATTATGTACAAAGACATATTCATATACATAAACATACGTATATATATATAAATATATATAGACGATACCCATACATGTGCAACTCTCTGAAAACAAATGGAGAGAACAACGAATTCCGATTGGTTGGGGATGGAATGGAAATCGTCAAAAGAAACGCAGAAGGAAAAAACGAACAAGACAAATAATAGAAAAATGAGAAATGAGCGACAGAACGAAACGAAACGAACACACCCATCGCATTAACGGGACATCCAGTAATACATTGTATATGCACACACACACCCAGATACACTCCACGACTCCAACACACACACACACACACACACTGACACTCACGGACACAGATATATCCACCCACACACGTGGCAAAGGTGCGAGACAAGGCACTTGCAATCCTATTTATAAGCATCCGAAAAACGAACGCCCCCAGGCCAAGTCCCCCATCAGCACCCCACCCCCAGCAAGTGCGAGCAGTGTCACCCAGAAGTATTGCCGCACTCCTCTGAATCGGAAGAACAGCACAAGCTCCAACAAAAACAACAACAAAAGAAGGAAAGAACCGAAATCCAGCAAAGAAATATACAAATAAACGAGAGGAATACGAAACGAATGGGAAACGGAAAAACGGTTGACAACCACAAACGGCATAAAAAACGCTGGAGAGAGAGGAGGAACTCGTACATAGAGAGAGAGTAGAAGAGAGAAAGCACAGCTGTTGCTGTCTCACTCGGTGGCAAAAGTTTAATTCGTTGATGGATGGCGGAAGGGTGGGCGGGTGGAAGGGTGCGGTAGGTGATGGTAACGAAAAAGTTTGTCATTTACTTTTTTAATTGAAATTAAAATGCTTTTCCAATAAGAAAATTCGCTGCAGGGCAGCAACAAAAAAAAAACAACAAGAAAACAAAAGAAAAATAAAATAAAATGCAAAAGCAGCTGCGCAAACTCTCGGAAACCCGAAGCAGGAACGGGGCCGACCCGAAACATCCTTTTGGAAAATGCATTGCATTTATTTTAATTTACTTTGTGGAAAATGGGGCGGGAGGCTTCCATAGCTGGCGCCCCAAGAAAAAGAACGAAGGAAAAGCAACAGAAAATGCCAAAACAATTGTCATTTGTTTATATAAGGCGGCGCTGTCGGCCATTGGAGTGAGTGAGAGACACGTACAGATCTCCCTCTCTCACTCCCTCACCCACACTATGCAAATATGCTGCTCACTCATGTTTATTGGTTGCAGCCCACCTGAGCTGGCGAGTGAGAGCGAGAGAGTGCGGTGATGGCTGCCAGCGTGGAGGGCGCGCAAGCGAGATAGCATCAGGGCCACGAAAACGAAACGAAATGGAAACGAAACACACAAATGAAATGAATATATGAACGAATGTGTGTGCGGAACAGAAGAGAGGCAGAGAAACAGAGAACAGAAACAGAACCAGAGCCAGAGCCAAACAAACGAATTGAAAAAATAAATAAAATAAATGTAACTATAGACGACGACGACGCTGGCAGAGCAGCAGAGTGAGAGAAAGAGCGAGGAAGAGCACAGCGAGAACAAGTGTGAAAGAGAGGCAGTTCAATGTATGCGACAGAGAGAGAGAGAGAGAGAGAGAGAGTGGAACGTCCTTGCTCCTTCGAAACGACTTCTGTGTTTCATTTGTGTGTTTGTCTTTTTATTACGTTTGTCATTCTACTTTTCGGGGTTGCTCTCGCACACACTCACACACACACACACGAGCACACTCTCAAACAGTGTATGAGAAAGGGAGGGTAGCAAGTGGCAGCATATCAATCGCTTATACCACTCCCCTTTTCCATATGTATGGGTGTGTGCGGGGCAATTCAAAACGTGCAACAAACATTCGTATCTCGTTTTCGTATTCGTATTCATATTCGTATTCGTATTCGTATTCTGGTTTTGCACAATCGCAGATACAGACACGCACACAGATGCACAGACACGTACACACAGATAGCAGTGCTGCTGCTGCTGCCTGCTGCCTGCCTGCTGCCTGCCTGCTGCCGCTGCTGAAACGATACGAAACGAAACACATTTGGTTCGCCTTTCATTACGAATTTGTCATTCGCAGACGAAGGTAATGCAATAATGCAATAAAATTTTTGCGCGCGCATTTCTCCTCTGCTCTTGGAGGTAGTAGTACTAGTACATAACGGTGGAACGTAGGACAGCAGCCGTGGGTGGGTTAAAAAAATAACACTCGAATTCTGCTGCTGCTCTCTCGCTTTCTCTCTCTCTCCGTCGTTCTGCCGCCACTCGCTCCATCTCCCTCTCAGTCGCGACGCGTGTGTGCGAGTGTATGTGTGCATCTGTGTGTGGGTGACGATTCCCATTCGAATGCAATTCGTTTTTCGTTGATTTCTCGCAGTCGTCGGCATTTCGTTTGGGGAAGCGAAGCCCCAGCGCAATCAGTGGCAACGTCTCACAATCTCAGTGACACGCCGTCGGTACGGTACACGGAGTCGGGAGTCGTCAACGGACACGTACACGGACACGGACACACGGGGTCCCCAACAACAATCGAATCGAATCGAATCGCATTCATTCATTCACCAAATCTATATTCAAATATTCGACCAAAATATTCAAATGTCTATCCAACGAAATGGCTGAAACCAAAATTTTAATTCTAAATCTCACCCAAACCAAGTGCGCGTTGTGAGTGTTTTGTGTTGGAGTGTTTTATGTAATATTCAAATTGTTCAGACACAATTAAGGTAAATTACTTATTAGTTCATTATTAGATCAGGTTCATCGCAATCAAAGTAGTAGAATTATGCAAATGAAATCAAATATAGAAGTTAGATCTTTGTGCAACAGAATGTCATAGGAACTAGCCAATGTTGTGGTACTACTTTATCGGAATGACAGTAGCAAAATGATAGTTAAAGATGGGAGAGACCTTTGTTATATATATCAAATATTATCATATCAAAAATTATTAAAATTCCACTAGATACTCAAACTTTTCCAACAAAATAAAGATATAGGTTTTAAATACAGAATCTAGACGCTGCAAAGGGCTCAAAACATATTGTTTATGAGGCTTAAACCAGTGCTTACTGGTCCAAGAGCTCGAAACTCAATTTAATCAGGTTCAAATATTCTGTTGTATCCGATGGGCACAGGCTTTTCACAATCGAAAAGATATATACAAATGCTCTGATCGGCTAGAACTTTCAACGAATGAAAACCACTTCTAAAAGTCTAGCGGGGGCCAAGAACTTTCTTTTATAGATATAGTAAATTATGAATATATTTTAATTCCTCAACCAATATCCAAAAAATTCCGCTAAAGAGCCCAAAATTTCCTAGAAAAATACTGGGTAAAGTTTGTTTGAATAAATCCCATATTTATTCCATAAAAAATGCGAGGAAATATAAACAAGTATTTTTGAGAAATAGTCAAATTCTTCTAGCGATTATTTCGAAATGTTTTCAACGTTTAATTATTCCAGAAATCTGACAAATATAAGTTTCGATACAAAAGTATGCCTAAAACGCAGTTCTCAGAACCACGATTTAGAATCTAATTTCCAATCGAACACGGATATGGAAAACAGAACACTAAACCAATAGAGAATCTCCATTAGAATTTACATAAAAAAGTCTCTAATAAATAATTAAAAATCAATTAAAAGTTCATTAATTATTTATCTCTCTCTGTCTCCATCTCTGTGTTTGAATTCTTATTTATTATTATTTTTTTGTAGTATACTAAAGAAAAAAAAATTACAAATTAGAGAGTAATTAAAACAAAAGGGCAGAAAAACGAAACATAAATCGGTTAATAAAGCCGCTCTCAAAATAACAAACAACAAAAGTGTCGGCCATGATGAAGTATGGATTCTGTGACAAGTGAACAAAGTGAAAAGAACACTAACAGTAATACAGAAATCAATAACAACAACTCAACGACGTTCAACAACAACAATTCAACAACAATCCATACCAATTCAACAACAATCCCCAATAATTACAGGATCAACTTAAGCAACAACCATCCAGCAACGTTTAACCACTATTCAACAACGTTCAACAACAATCAAATCAGAAACTTCAACAACAACGGCAACATCCACAACAACTTAAGCTGCATCGTCCCCAACAATCTTACCTGCAACATTCACAATTGCAGCAGCAACATCATACCAATCCTCACCAGCAATATGAACACCACAGCCATGTTGATGCACCATCAACAGCAGCAGCAGGCCGCCGCCGCGGCAGCAGCAGCAGCAGCCGCCGCCCAACAGCAGCAGCAACAACAGCAACAGCAGCAACAACAGCAGCAGCAACAGCAACAGAACGGCCGCGACGGCAGCAACAGCTCTCGAGGAGCCAACGATGATCGACCCAATGGTCGAAGCTCTCATACGGGACGTGGCTCCAGCTGCTCGCCGGCCAGCTCGCCGAGTCGCCATCCCAGCGCCGTGAGTCCCGTCAGCTCCCTGAATCACTCGATGATGGCCCAAATGCAACAGCAACAGCAGCAGCAGCAGCAACAACAGCAACAGCAGCAACACCATCAGCTGAGTCCCCCGCCGCATGTGGGAGCTGGTGGCATGCCCACGGGCAATGGCTTGCCCGCTGGACTGCCGCCGAGAATGCCGCACGGCCTGCCACCGCACTCGCTCGGTCTGCTCAACTCGCTGCAGATGATGCACCATGCCTCGCCGCTGGAGCTGATGGCTGCCGCCCATCACCATGTGCCGCCGCGATCGTACAACTCGCCGCCGCCCATCTCCACCTCCGATCCGAGCGCCAACGAGTGCAAGCTGGTGGAGTACCGCGGCCAGAAGGTGGCCGCCTTCATCATCAGCAACGAGACAATGCTCTGCCTGCCGCAGGCCTTCGAGCTCTTCCTCAAGCACCTGGTGGGTGGCCTGCACACGGTCTACACGAAGCTGAAGCGCCTGGATATTGTGCCCTTGGTGTGCAATGTGGAGCAGGTGCGAATACTCCGCGGTCTGGGGGCCATCCAGCCGGGCGTCAATCGCTGCAAGTTGCTCAGCTGCAAGGACTTTGATGTGCTCTACAGGGACTGCACCACAGCCAGGTACGAATGCACTGAGAGATCAAATTCGACAGTTATTCAAATCTCCATCTTTTGATTTGATATCTTATGAGTTAAGGGGTTCTTCATTTCGTGTTTTTAGCGCCTCATTTTGTTGAGTGTATTCCCAGTGCCTAGTTGCATTTCCAGCTCGGGGTTTGCTCTGCAAAATTTTCTCATTTCCTGTTTCCGCTTTAGCCAACTTACGCACTCAACGTGTGCAGCCGATTCTCTGCCCCCCTTTCGGCCAAATGCAAATAGTTTGTGCATCGATATCGATTAACACAAGCAATCAAAAAACTTTCGTTTCGCTTTTCCCCTCATTTTCCGATGACATTTGGCGGAAATACGCAATGCAAACGTAACTCCAAGGACCTCCCCTTCAAGACCCAATCGCAATCCCCATTCGTAGGCACTGCACTGCACCCTCGCTTGCTAACTATCCCAAAAGCTGCGTAATTCTTTTGAGCGATTCTAACAATAGTTGGTGAAACAGTTTTTCCAGTTTGTGCAAGTTTTCCCCGCTCCCTGTTGTTGTTGTTGTTCTGTGCACGACGTGTGCGGTGCCCTGTCAGCGCATTTCCGTTCGAGTGGAAAAAACGACAAGCACAAAGCAGAGAAATAGGTTTTACTCGTACTCGTACTCGTACTCGTTTTTTTTTTGTTTTGCCTTTTTGTTGTTGTTCATGTAATTGTAATTATTGAGTGGGTTCAGCTAGTGGTGGGGTCTGGCCTGGTACTTGGAGTTGGTTCTGTACAGAAGACAGGAGCTCCTAAGAACCAAAGCTACTGGTTTTGCTGCAGGGAAAAAATACTTGTAGAAGGTGGGTCCCCAAAAATATTTTCACCTATTTCTGCAGGAATCAATCAACAATCTAGGCTTTACAGAACTTTGAATATGACTTAAGGCAAGTCCAATCAAGTGGAAGAAACGCAGAAGATTCTTCTGAAAAATGCGAAGATCTCCTAAAAATCCATGATTTGTTTCACATTATTTTAAAGAAAATCTTTGGCACTTAAGAGAAGATGAAGAGAAGAAATATAATTATCCGCACTGTGAATCTTTTTTCCGATCACAGTGCAATATTTTCTGGAAATTGAATGTGGTCTTCTGTTGTCCATTTCATTAAAGTAATGACGAAGGGCTTTTTTAAACAGTAACCCACCCAAGAGAGACCCAACATTGAGACATCAAGAGCCAAAAGATTACAACCTTGTATTCCAATATCCCTTTATATTGTTTTTTTTTTTGTGTTTTTTGGTGGTGCTGAGTCCTGCGTTTGTTTACTGTTGGAGTAGAACCCTTCCACAGGCATATACGCGTACTCGCATTGGTAGGACGACCAACCGGCCGGCAGGTCGACTGGTCGACTGTTCGACCACATTGCATTCAATGAAAAACCATCTAGTTAATTATGGAAACGCGGCTGTCAGGGGAAGGAAACACACCGAACACATGGAGTGTGCTCCAACGTGCACATGCGCTTTGGCTAGAGGATGAACGGAGAGACCCACAGCCAGGAGGCGAGTACATGGCAGACCTCACCGAACCGGACCGGACCGAGCCGAACATGGGGAACAGTTAAAAATGCGGTTAAACCTATTATTAGGTTGAAAAACTTTTGCGCTAAATTGAAACAAGTTGAGGAAACTGAAACGGGTGAAAAAAAGAGGCCCGAAAACAAAAAGGAAAAAAGGGGGAAAACTGCAACCGCTAAAGGCAGTTGGCAGTCGATATAGGAGTCGTATAGCCCTCTTCTGCTCCCTCTCTCTCTCCCTCTTTCCCGAGGGGGGATAATTACAAATTGTTTGATGGGGCTGTCGGGGGTTAAGGCGTGTGCATTTTCACACCCGCTTGCCCGCCAAAACGTGGATGCATCATCCATTCCATCCATCAATGAAAACTCCCCTCTCAGCGCGTCCACTCCTGTGAGTTACATTGTTTTCGGGGAACAAACTCCTCTGTTTTATTCGGAGTTTCACTCGTTTTTTACTTTTGTTGTTTAAAGCTTACACACACACAACGTTTAACAAATTTTGCCTCACTTGTCTCTTTCTCTTCTCTTTTTAATTGCAGATGCCTATCGATCAAGCCACCAGAGAGGTAAACACACAAGTATAATAAAAAAACTATGGCAATAATTTCTCTCCTCCTCCTTTTACTCTTTTTTTTTTTAATATTTTTTGGTTTTTTTTCGTTTTTGGAAGAAAGAAACGCATCGATTGCATCGTTTTTTTTTCCTACACTTGAGAGTTTTTAGAGCGAAAAGAATTTGTTTATTAAATTAATTAAACTCGAAACGGAAATTGGGCGAGCCGCGAAAATGCGGAAGTAGCAAGGATATTTGAGGGTTAAACAAGAAATAGAGCATGAAAAAAGGGTTTATCCGATAAGAATTTTTGGGTTTCATTTTTGGGAATTACGGTTATAACGGTGTTAACAGTAGAGCGAACAGGTGAGGGGATTGGATTTTTTATACGCAGATAAAGCGATTGAAACGGTTCTGAAAGATAATCTATGGTCGAAACCTCGGGGAGACAGGAAATCCAATACCGTCTGGGAGTAATTTGATCATTTTTAACTTGAACTTTTAGTTTGAACAACTGAGAACAGATCTGAAAAGCGGTCCAAACTAAAGCTGTAACAAATTTAAACTTTAAACTCGATCTTAAAAATCATAATCCTAATGGAAACCCAAAGAATCGAAACCGAACTGAACCAAAAAAAAAACTGACGGAAAACACACTAAACCTTCAGTTTAAGCAAAGAAAATAATAAAAAAATTAATTATAAATTTTTCTAATTTTATAATTTTGGGTTTTACTTGGAGCTAATCAAAATTCTCAACTTTTTTCACTCTAAAACACTCTTGAGCTCCCAATCCAATGTTTTTATTCTCCTTTTTGTTCGAAATCGAAAAACTTACGTTGCAATAATTTTTTATTATATTTGTTTGCCTTTGTTGGGGGCTTCTCATATGGCAGCCCACCCCAATAATCATTTTTAGATATATATATACTATAGTTCTTTGTTTTTTTTTCTAATGTGCTCATAATTACAAAAATTATTGACACTGACATTTCATGTGTGTTTGCGTGTGTGTGTGTGTGTGTGTGTTGGCCATAAAAATAATTCTGTCAGCATTTGTGTGTGAGTGGTTCTCTTTGGTTCAGTCAATTTGGTTTCGGCAAATGGCAAACAATTGATTTTGATCACAGTTGACAGTCGCGATCCGAGCCCATACCCATGCCACCACGGGGCTGGCTAAAACGACGTTTAGGCTTCGCGAGCGGCATCGACCAAAGACCGAAAAGGTAACTCTTGAAGGTAACTCCAATGAGCCACAGAAACAGCAACAACTGCAACAACAACGTGTTGTGACTGGGCTGGTGGGCACACCTTTCCACTAAATTGGACTAAACCCCCCCGCCAACCACCGTCTCCGTTCCGAGCAGCTTAGAGACCACAACTATGCAAATTGCTCGGGCCAAGTGGAAAAATGTTTTGCAAAAAAATGAATTGAAAACCAATTGATTGATTTGACTTCATTTGGGTTTAATTTGTTGTTAAATTTGTTAGAGCGAATAAGTGGGAGAGTCGTGGGGAGCACGGAGATGATATTGGTGAATAGTTTTGCGATAGTTAGTGGGAATAAATGGTAGCTAAAAGAAGGTTATTTGACACAAGAATGAAGGATGGTATTCTTTAAGCAGATGGAAGTATAGAAAAAAAGGGCATCTAAAGGAAAGTTATGGGAAAATAATGAAACAAAAATATATATGGAGTGATGGAAATTAAGTTCTTTAAAAGAAAGTTTTAAGCTTTAAAAAAATTACCATTTTAATATGCATTTACGAAAAAACCCAAATCAAAATCAAACAAAATGGCAGAATAAATAGGAATTTTCTCATAAATCTCTCGAATAGATGGAGGCAGAGGTGGGGGGTATTAAAATTGATTACAAATAACTTAACACAAATTACGACAGCACAATGATTTATAATATGAATTTCATATGCATGGCTTTTGTTATACAGACAGACAGACAGACTGTAATTTATGCCATCCAGCAACAACAATACCCGCCGAATGTCTACTGTCGACCGTCGACTGTCGAATGTCTAATCACAAATGACTGACTGACAATCAAGAGATCAACTCCACTCCACAGATCAACGACTCGAATCGACTCCTCAGGCTGTCAAAAACACAAAAAAAATGTTGCAAGGAAATAGGCGGAGGAAAAAAAAAAACAAAAAATTAATTATATTAAATTTCTAAAATAATTCGAGAGTAATTTTGCATATCTTTTTGGTTGAGGTGTGAGTTTTGCATTTTGCAAAATCCGAATTAATTGAGTGTAACCGAAAAACAAAAGCAACATTGTTGCTGCTGAAGGGGCTTCTGTTCAATCTAAATGTAGCAACAATAGTTCAATTTATTTGTAAAATAATTACAGAGAGCCCCACTCCAAGACAAAACTGCACCCAGCATTCATATACGAGTATATTGTATATTGTAGCATATATGTCTGTATATTCTCTCATCATCATGAGATCCAGCTTCAGGGAGGAAGAGCAGGAGGAGGAGGAGCTGTACGAGTGCCGTGGAGGCAGTCAGTCTTGAGTGGCTCTCAAACCCATTGTTGGTGTGGCATGTTTGTAACTATTTTTTTGTTGTTGCTTTGTATTAGTTTTTTTGTTGCGAACTAAATGAGTTATTAGCACGCCAATTGAAAATTCAAGTGAGTGTGGAAAACCAACGGCAAAGCCAAGAAATCTGCATTAATATATATACTAAAATAAATACACGTACTTCTGAGGTTGGTCCAGGGGCCGCGGCAAAGAAAATTATATGGAAAACTTTGCCAAGAAAGAAGGCCACCCAAAATTGGTAATTAGCATATAAACTGGCTTTGAATATTTCACTGGGAAAAAAAAAACACTAGAAGAACTATATTTCATGCTAGTGTGAATTAGTGGGGAAAAAAATGTGAATAATTTTGGAAACTTGAAAGAAATTTCGTGGGTTTAAGGAGGTTCCTGCTTGTTGAATGGAACTGAAATTTTGATGTTTATAAGGTTTGGATAAGTACGAGTAATATGCTGTTATAACCCTTAGTTCACATCTTTCGATGTATTACATTTCAATCACTACTCTTACCGCCATTTGCCATTTCCCATTGCCATTTCTAATGCCAATACTCTTAGTATAGTAATTTGCAATGGCAATTGTTTGGGACAATCTGTAATAGTTGAGAATTTCTATTCCGCTATGTGGTTTATCATTTGGTGAAGCGGCGCAGGCCGCAGTTCCCGGAGCGGAGTCCAAACCCCACAATTAGCATTGGAGATAACTTTGGGTCGTATCCCCGGCTCGGGCCGGGCCCTCTGGCAATCGGTCTCGGTCTCTGTCTCGGGCGAATGCCATGTCATTTGTACATTTGCATGTCATTTAACAATGAACACAAAAGTTGACCAGGCTGTGGCACAGGCACAGGCTGAGGCACACAGCGATGTTGGCAACGTTGTCTGGTTTGCGTAAATGCAAATTCCAATAACATTTATTGTTAACTGAAAGAAATTCGAGCCCACTTCAAGCGGAGCACAGGAAGACCAAGACCAAGACGAAGGCGAAGGCTTCTTTCTGAGAAATTGTTGTCGGTTGTGTCGCCTCGAAAGCGGCTTATAGACAAATGGCAGAGGATTGCCAGGCGCGAATCAATTTGAAGCTATAAATTCAATTAAAATTCTGCCGGAGCACTCATTCAAACGCGTAATTGCGAATATGGAAATTGTGTGGCGGGCAAGTTTTAATTGTCGGTCGGGCGATCGGTCAATCGCATTGATTTAGTTGCTGGCAAACACGCTCCCTAGCCACAAGGTGGCAACTTGGCCATAAATATAATTGATTTGCCAATTTGCAGCCTTAGCAGCCGTAGCAGCCGGGCTCGGGAGTCCAACCGGAGGTGTCTCCGGATAGGTACCCCTGGGGCAGTGGGTTAACCTCAGAGAGCGCCGAGTCGCCTTTCCCGCCGGAGTTGGAGCTATCCGTGCGTTGGATTTATGCAACTTGTGCCGCTGTCGATCCTGCCCCATTTGAGTGGCACAGTTAGCACAGTTTGGCGCATATTTTGGCGGCTGTTGCTCAAGCCCCTGCCGCAAGTCAATAATTAACAACTCAGCTATCCCTTGATTATTGAAATATATGAGTACGAGTGCGAGTTCGAGTACCACTACGAGGGGACGTTCGTCTCGAGTTCGACTGCTCACAGCTGCAAACAGGTTCAGGTTTGTTGTTGCTGGGTTTGTGGCAAGTCTGAGCCTCTGAACCGGTTGTACGCTACGCGAATGGTTTTCATCTCCTTTTCGCTCATTTGCTTGCCACTTGGTTGTGGCCAAAGCGACTATTTTGACAAATTGTTGTTTATTCCTGACTAAACGTTTGCCTCGCCGAACGCGAAGAAATGAAAAATGACAAATGACATTTGTGGCGAGTGACAACAACAGTGCGGCATAAATTAGCCAAGTGGCAGTGGGATTTGGTGCCTCTGGATGCCATGCATTCGAGGTATTTTGCAGGCTTGTTCGGGCTTATCCGTTTGGATAATTAGATTATTACTAAATTAGACTCAATTTAATGTTAGTTGTAATCTAATTGATCTGAAAATGGTTGTAACTATTTATCCGGATTTATCCAAAGTTATCCGTAGTTATCCCTTCTCTCACGTCATCATTCTCTGTGTTACGACTGTTACGCAAATTCCGCAAAACTGTTTGTCCAAGCTTATCCGAACCCTATCCGAATGACATATTCCAACGAAGGCCCCGAATTTGCAGGACAGGACAAACATGTCAGCGGCCCAGCAACCCCAAAACTTTCCAATGAAAGTGCCTGCCCCAACCCACATTTCATAATAAATCCATCAACATCTTCAATGTTTTTTTTTTGCACGTCACCGACTGGAACAGAGCGGCCTTCCGATTAGATCCCAAAAAACACTTTCGCTGAACCGAGAGAGAATCTTGTGGAATGATTCATTCTGTGGGGCGCCTCTTTACACGACCCGCGGCGAGGGGCTAAGACAACAATTCAGAAGTTTGTTTGTCATTAAACGTTTAAAGGAGCACAATTAAAATCCCGCCACAAATATTTATTGTGGAAATATGTAACTGCAAATATTTGCCGATTCGTTATCCAGTGTACGCACAATTACAAATGCTATCGCATCGTATCGTATAGTATCGTATGGTTCATCGTTTCGCCATACTTGTACGATCTTTGTGCTACCCGTGTTTATTTGCCTTTGTCTTTGGCTCTGACTCTGCCTCTGCCTCTGCCTCTGACTCTGCCTCCGTGCAACGGGGGGGCACCTGTTTACCCCCGACAAACATTGAATGAAGATTCCATAATTTAATTGCCAGCAGCCATCTGGAAGTGCTGCCCCCCCTTCATCTGGCTTGGGCCAGCTGGGGCCCCGGGATCGCTCTATTTGCCCAAGTCTTGGCTCTCCCCTCTCGTAGTATTTGCTGCAGTTTAAGTTTCTTTCTCTCGGTGGATGGGTGGGGTTTTATCTCTTGTTTGTCATAATTTCCACCCGCTGCGCCAAGTTGTTTATGCCTTTTCGGTTAACTATTTAGCTTAACCTGCGTCAAGTATTTGCCCAAGACTTATTTAAATATTTTATATACAAATAGCAGCAATTGCGGGCATAAATTACTAGAAAAATAGTTGAACTCTTTTTTTTCTTTTTTTTTTTTGTACGCTCTTTGTGGCCCGGGCTCTTTATTATTTTTGTTGCTGCTTTTTGGTTGTACATTTTTTTATGGCCGATAATTAAAATGGTAGCACGTTTCTTTACCTCTCGTTTTGGCCTTTTTATTTGTCCCAAGTCAACGGGGGTGCTCCGCAGAGTTGCTCAAAGCTTAATTAGGGAACGAGTGTGTGTCGGAGAAGCCTAAAATTCGCATGGCCAAGAGTGTTGTGGGAGCGGCAGAAATATGACTTGGTAATAGATTCGAAGACGCGCGAGATTCTTTGGAAAAGTTAAGCAATCAGTCAGAGATACAAGTCAAGGAATTATAAAATATTGTAGACTCGTTTTATGGACTCCCAGGACGCTTTGTTGCTTTCATGTTTATGGATTTATTCACTGAATCGCCATATAATTTAATTAAATCATGTACGAGTAGTACTCTTTTTTGGTCTTTGAATTTTTGTTTCGTTTGTACTTTAAAACCTCTCAAGTTATTGATATATCTACTTATATACGTGTATATTTCATTTGGAAATGCAATAGCACACTGCATTCAGCATTCGTAATACCAGATCTACACCCATTCCCATAATAACAACATCTTTGCTGAACTATGATCAATGTGCTAAGGCATTTGGTTTTTTTTTGTACTGATACCAAGAAAATTGTCCATTACTTTCAACCCAACAGTAACTCTCTGCAATTCCGCAGTTCCAGACCGGGTAGACCGCCCAAACGAGGACCCGTGGGTCTCTCCCTGCCGCCCAGCCATCTATCCCAGCATCCGCAGCTGAAGAAGCACCGCCTGGACAACGGCGACTATGCTTACGAGAATGGCCATATTAGTGGTAAGTGAAGTGAAGTGAAGTGAAGAGATGCCGAAGAATCTGCTTTCCCATAAACCCTGCTTACGATATTTTCCCCACTTGCCAATTGGGGAAGAGGAGACTCTCTCACAATTGAGTGGCATGGCCGGGAGCGCCACGAATTCGCATTCGAATGGTAATGAAATCATTTCGAGATTGGCCAAAAAACTTGCTTTCGGGCCTGGCTCTCTGCTGCCGCCATTTGTGATTTGTGTGGCTCGATGATTACTACTTACAGCTGCCAAACGAAAAGCAGCAGATACAGATACACTGGGCCTCGAAGTACCACGTTCCCAGAGAGCGGGAACACAGATAAATGGCAGCCAAACGGCAAACAGCAAACAGCAATCAAGTCAAATTCCAATGCGGACTGCCGTATGATTTGTACAGGAAATCGCATTCAGCTGAAATTTTCGAATTGAATGTGTATCGTGTTGTATCTGTATCTGTAATTATGATAAGTACACGCGGACTCGCATTTAATTGATTTTTTTTTCTCTTTCCTTTTTACATACTCGTACATACTCGTATTTCTCTATGGCTTTCGAGAGCCTGACAACTGGGTCCACGCCCCTTTCTATTAATGTGTCCGAGACGCACAATATTGAAAGATACTACTTGAAAGGCCAAATCGAAAGAAATCTCATTTTCTTTTTCTTCAGAACGATGTGCCGCCGGCGCCTTCTGTACCAAAAAAAAAAAAAACCGATCCTAACTTGAGAAAAAAGTTTTTATGCCTCGTCATCAGGCGGCCTTAAAGAAAAGGTTCTTTGAGTGAATTATGGGGCGTTGATTCTTGAGTGATATTGCATTATTAATATAAAATACAACAACAACTGTTGTAGAATATATAAATTTGTTAACTGCACTTTCGTTGGACCGGACCCAGGGTTTAATTGCATTTTGTGGAGAGAAAAAAATGAAAGAAAGAGTTTTTCACCAAAGTTTTAATTGCATTCCGCATTTTCTATTAAATTAAGCAATTTACTAAATGTTCAAGCATTTAATGGCATACTAAATTGTCAAGCCATCATATACATATACATATATACACGCACCCACACACCCACACACCCAGAAGCAACAAAAGAGTATGGCGCTGTGAATGGAGGAGGTTGGCGTGTGTGTTTTTAGCTGTTGTGTTTAGTCTGGCCGCTCAGACAATATACATGCTATATATAGGTATATATATATATCGTATATAGCAATACCTGTGCGGCTATCTGCATAGACATCATGGACTGGAACAGGTGTCTGCTGGGCGAGCCATCAAAATGAAAGGCAAATATTGTTGAGGAGCGACAGAACACATTGAATGCATTTGTAAATTAAACAATTTACCCAGGGAGCTACTAAATATTGATTAATTTCAAGAGATGGTCTAGAGAGATGGCGAAGAAACCTTCTAAAATGCATTCCTTAATTCCCTTTGCTCTCTCTCTCTCTCGCGCTTTACAGATATGAATCGATTGGAGAAGTCGCCACTGCTGGCTAATGGCTACAATCCGCCGCCCATCAATCACATGGCCTTTATGCAAATGAATGCCCATCATCCTGGGGCGGCGGCTCTGATGTCTCCTGGCATGCCTCCGCATGGCCTGCATGCTCGTCCCGAGAGCCAAATGCTGAAGGCCGCCGCCCAGAATGCCGGCATGTCGGCTGCCAATATGGATGCGCTTGCCCGCTCTGGGATCTGGGAGAATTGCCGAGCTGCCTACGAGGATATTGTCAAGCATTTGGAGCGTTTGCGGGAGGAGCGAACGGACGAGCGGCAGCAGGTGATGGGCGTCAGTGGCGCCGTTGTGGATCGCGTGGGTCATGTCATAGTGGGCGATGTGAAGCCCAGGGATCTCAGTTCAAGGAATTGTGAGTATAGCCAGGACTAAGCCATCAGTTCCATTAGCTAATTCCCAATCCATATGGTTTCCCCCCCTTTCCATAGGCTCCCCCACGCGCCAGAGTCCGGTGTTAAATCTAAGCAAATCCGGCGGCAACACCGATCATGGTGGCAGCAACTGTGATGCCGGCAGCGAGCGTAGCGACTGCCACTCGGTGGCAGGATCCGCAAGGGGATCGCGCAGCGTGGACGAGGGCAGTCGCAGTGGCGGCGTTGGCGGTGGCATCATCGGCGTGGAGGACGACGAGGAGGAGGAGGAGAACCTGAGCGACGAGAATCAATCCGAAGCCGATGAACGCTGCCTGGCCAAAGACGATGAGGGTGAGTAGACTTTGCACAAGCGACGGCGATGTGCCACATGCGATATGTGACACGCGCGATAAGCGATAACCGATAACAATGACAGCCGACTGACTGACTGAGTGAATGACTCTGTGTGTTCTCTTTCTCCATCTCCATCTACATCTCCATCTCGGTATCCATCTCTTCTGCCAGATTTGAGTGACACGGAACGTGATAATCTGTCCACGGGTTCGGCGGCCGCCGCCGCAGCAGCAGCCGCGGCAGCAGCGCACCTGCACCAGCATGCAGCAGCCGCCTCGCACCACCATCAGGCAGCAGCGGCGGCAGCCGTGCACCACCTCGGTGTGGTGCCGCAACGCGGCTCCCCTTCTGCGGAGGCAGCCGCTGCCGCCGCCCTGCAACATCAGCGCGCCCTCAACTACTCGCAGCTGGCGGCAGCCGCTGCGGTGGCCAATGGGGCAGGTGCTGCTGTGGTCAATGGTCCGCCTGGCGCCGTGGGCGGTGGCGCCCTCACCCCCAACGAGGCGCTGATGGCGGCTAACGATGCCACCGCTGCAGCAGCCCTGGCCGGCGGCCTGGCCCTGGGTCCCCTCGGCATCGATGCCCACGCCGCTGTGCCCGCTAGCTCCACGGAGACGCTGCTGCGGAATATCCAGAGCCTGCTCAAGGTGGCAGCCGATAATGCCCGCCAGCAAGAGCGTCAAATCAGCTACGAAAAAGGTGAGTTGAGGCGGCAATATGGAAAGTGCTGGCTGTGGTCTGCGGTCGTGCCGAAGCTGACCTTAACTAATCCTCTTTCCTGGTCTTGTTTCTTTCCCTTGTAGCTGAGCTCAAGATGGATGTTCTGCGAGAGCGTGAGGTGAAAGATTCGCTGGAGAGACAACTGGTTGATGAAAGGAAATTGAGAGGTGAGTTTGGGGCGAAAGAAGTGGGAAAGCTGGGAATAGACAAAGCGTTCTAGAGGGTGATTATTTCCAAAAGAACGCTGGAGTGATTGAAAATACATTGCCTTAAACTTGTTGGCGATTTCGCCTTAAAATTCTGCATACCCTAGTCGAGAGGCATTTGATGATCCATCCCTAGTTTGTGGAGCCAATCAGCCTTGACAGTGTCCACAGATCCACATTTAGTTGCCAGAGTGCGCTGTGGAGCTCTGGAGCTCTGCTCTGCTCTGTGCCTATGCCAATTCCAATCGTGCGCGCTTAATGCAAACTGACTCAAATGACAATGACACCTGATATGCCGACTGTCTGCCCCGTTTCCACAGCCGCTGCCCCCACTGCCACTCCCCTTGGCGCTGTGGTGGTCGTCGCCAGGCTGCTGCTGCTGCAAAAAAGGGTTTTAAGGCTCAGGCTGCCGCCGTTCCGTGGCGTTCTGTCCTTGTCTTCGGGGCCTTTTTCAACAGAAATCACAATTCAAATGAATTTAATATCATTTCATTATTTAGTTACACTCGAATGATTGGCAAAAAGTAGCAAGACGTGGCAAGACGACGATGACGATGACGAAAGGGGAGTCATTGGTCCTGGCTCCGGGCTTAAGAATGTGGAATCTGAGTTGCCTTCGATTACAGGCAGAAAGTTGAGAGCTGAGAGCTGAGAGCCAGAGAAATCTTTTAATTGGTTGTTGTTCTCGAAAGACCTTAAAAGGGTTGTCAGGGTTTGTCAAGGGGTGGCGGCGACGATGGGGAAGAACTAAGCCTAATTGAAAGCCAGATAGAACGGGGGGTAACCATTGAGCCAATTATGCAAGAAAAAGCTCCAGAGCAGGGCTGCCAATCGATATGTTTATAAATCGATTAGCTAGAAATTCGGTACTCTATTTGGTAATACACCAATTACTGTCCTAGTACTCGATCGTTTAGCCATTAACCACATGTGTGCCACAAATTGATCTATATATCAGGCGATAGAATGGCCCCCGACCGACCCCTGAAGTAGCTTAAATCATGGACAACCCTCAAATTTGGAAGCCGCCATTGAAACAACCAAAAAAACACAGAGCTCCACCCAAAAACTTTAGAATTACAAAGGGAAGGAACCAGGGCAAAAAGCACGAGTATAATTGCCCACCGACTGACCGACCAGGCTATAACTCAGTGCCTCTCTCTCTCTCTCTGTCTCTCTCTCTCTGTCTCTCTCTGTCCCTGTGTTACTTTGTGTGTACTGCCCCACCAGAGACCAGAGAAAATTATGCACTTGGAATAGTGGAAAAAAGGCAGCGCATAAATCAGCAAACGAAACGAAACGAAACGAAACCAAAGTAAAGTCGACTCGACTCGACTCCGAAATGAAAATTGCATGCAACTATGCAAAATGCCACACAGGCACATAGACATCTAATTGCAACTAATAATAACGCCGGCGATAAACATCTGGCTGGAACATGGGCACCAACAATTGGCCATTTGCAATGGGAGCGACTCTGGAGAGCCGCGTGGGTGCTCTCGATGCCATGCCATGAACTCCACATCATTCCATTCCGAGGCGATCTGATTCGATCCTCGGTGAAATTCAATATGCCTGAAACATAGTTTTGATGTGGCTCTGCTTGATCTGCTCTGCTTGTGGGCACTGATCGTGGCTGTGGCTGTGGCTGTGGCTGTGGCTCCACCCTCAAAACGGCTGTCACCACGCTTCACTGCATCGATCGACATCGACGATCAGGTCGAGTCTTTGCTGTTTTTCGTTTTTCGTTTCTATAACTCGCGATCTGGAATGATTGCAAGTCGGGATCAATAAGCATAATTGCGCCCACACACACGGCCGGATGCGCAGTTGAATTGGCACGGGCACGGACACGGGCACGGGGCAACAAGCCAGGGAAACCCAGGGAAACGATTGAATCGATCAAATTACCAGTTACCAGCAACAGTTCTCGAGATCAACATCACGATCTAACGATGATTCGGTTTATGGGCTCTGTTCTGTCTTGTGCTCTTTTTGCCATTTCCATGGAAGGAATTTAGAGGTTCTCAGTCCTCAAAGATGGCTCTTGGAGTGGGCTTGGGTTTTGGGTTACGCTTTGGAACGAGGCTTTATTATTTGTACTAATCCTTCGAATCAATTTCGTGTTTTCTTTTCTTGCAGTGCTGTACCAAAAGCGCTTCCGACGAGAGCGCAAGATCCGCATTCGCTACCAGCAGCAGCTCGGTGGCGGCCCCAAGATTAGCAGCTCGAGTGCCAATGGGAATGGCGGTGGCGCCTGCAGCGACGCGGAGGTGTGCGGCGGCAGCAGCGTCAGCGACGTGAAGTGCCACAACAGCAGCAGCAATAGCCGCGACGGCGTCGAGGCGCTCAAAGGTAAGTGGCAGGGGCAAGGACAAGCACAACGCATGGCTAACAGACCCCCACCCACTCCCACTCCCACACCCACTGCCACTGCTCTCTCTGGCCCCACACCACACCACCCCCAATCCCCAAACTGCTTCCCCCGCTCCACACCCTGCGCCCTACGCTTTTCTAACCAACACAGCGCCCTCTGCTTTCCCTCTTCCCCCATAGACAACGACGGCGGCAGTCGCGGCGGCAGCGAAAAGTCTGACAAGTCCCTCAGCTCCTCCTCCTGTGATGTGACCGGCCATGTCACGGCCTCCACTGCAGTCGCAGCCTGCTCCGAGTCCCCCACCCACTTCAAGCGCGAGCCGCACTCCGACCACGAGGGATCCATGGAGCGCCAGCCCCGCGCCAGCTCCGGCCCCGAGGACGAGCCGCGCTGCGGCAGTCGCGAGCGGGACGAACGGCCTCCCAGCGCTGCTGCCGTGGCCGCCGCAGCCGCTGCGGCTGAGGGTAGCCTGGCCGCAGCAGCGGCGGCGGCAGCAGCGGCCGCTGCCAGCAACGGCAAGGGTCCGTGGAGCTATCCGGGCATCGATCTGATGGCCACGGGGGCCTTCTGGCAGAACTATTCCGGTGAGTTTCTGAAGGCCAAAATTTCTCTATGTATATTTGAGGGAAATTAGTCTCTGGAGAGACCAGAATGTGGCGGAATCTTAGAGGGATTGAGGGGGATCTTTAGTAGGTTATATTAATATCCAGATGACCCTTAACCTTTCCCTTTTCTTCTGCTTTTTGTGTCCCTTGCAGAATCTCTAGCCCAAGAGCTGGAAATGGAGCGCAAAACGCGTGCCGCCAACGCCGAGCGGGATGTCAAGAGTCCGCTCTCAGAGCGTCCGACGGCCTACTACAAGAACTCGGTGCTCTTCGGCAGTGCCAACTAATCCCCGACCCAACCGAGTCCAGGCGAGGTAAGCGAAGCTCCGGGTGGCACGTGGCAAGGACGACATACATGATCTCAGAGTGCAATCCAGGCGGCGGCTGCTCTTGAGTGGGAGGTGGAGATACATTTGTAAATATCAAACCTAAGAGTAATGAAGTAGAAATTGAGAATTTTGAACGTTGCAAACGTTGGAGCGGCCATTTTGTATATAGATCGTATATAGAGAACTTCCGCTTAGATCAAATAATCCCCAGTTGTATATAGAAAGCAGATACGAAAGACTTTTGATGTTCGGAAAGCATTTGAAGTTGGCATAGACCTAGCATTTAGCATCCCCCCCCCATCCTTCAGAACGCCCCCCCGAAAAACAGAAGGAATACCATTTTTAGCATTGCTTATAAACACACTACGATATAGCTTCAATTTGAGTATGATTATATACCACATGTAATTGCATATATATGTATGTATATGTATGTATGTATGTGTCTGTGTATGTGAAACCTAAAGATACAATATACTTAGATATGGTACATTTTACGAGCCGCTTTTTAGTGTTTTAAATGATTTAATTTACGACGTACGAGTACATTTTTTAAAGCTAAGATTTTAATTTATTCACTAGCCTAGCGCAGAAGTGCATTAAGCCCGTAATAAGTACTAAAAAAAGGATAGCGTCTAATACAAAATTAACTTCAAGTATTTCACTTGCCTAGGCACTAAACAATAATTCATATTATACATATATCTAATGATAAATATTAATGAAACAAAATAATAATAAACGCTAAACAAAAACAAAAACAAAAAACAAAAACCACTTGTATGCCCGTCATTCAAAAATATGTTACAAAATACGAAAAAATTGAGATAAAAAAATATATATATATAAAAAAAAGAATGGAAATTAAAAACTATTTAAACGCTTCATATGCTATTATATATACACCCTATATATAGTATATATACACACACATTAACTTTAGTCATAACAATAGTCAAAGGACAGATACAGATACAACGCTCCATCAACAATGGCGGCCCGAATATTGTGCAACATTTCGCCGCTCGCTGCAAAAACACAGAAAATTATTACAATAAATACGATTAAAATAATACAGCAACAGACAGCAGACAGCAGACAAAAAAGGCAACAAGAAACAACAACAACAACAACCTAACAAAATGGGAAAAAGTTTAAAAATAATATATAATAATAAATTATTATTGCAAAAATAATAAAGCCATAAAACGTTGTTTTCATTTCATTTTTTTGATGCCCCCAAATATTAACCAAAATCATTTTTGGGTTATTAACACTTTTAACCGAAGTTGTTTGAAGCGTTAATGGGTTTTCGAATTGGCTGGAAAATGATTGCCAGATGGTGAAAAATGGTTTTTTTGATTAAATTGGGTCGTATATGGAGTAAAAGATTGAAGTGTTGCTTTTGGTTAATCTGGAAGAAAAGTGATTTGAAAGATGGCTTACATTTCATTTTGTATTGTGCTTTGAAGTCAGGCTTCAAGCCCATTAAAAATTGCTCAAATTAGAATTAAATTAAGGGCGGCAAAAGATGTACCTACAGGAAGTACCAGTCCACCAGGGATTTGTTTTGTACAGCTTCCATTAGGCATTGTTGGACTGAACAAAAACCATTTGGGCTCTCATCCTCAATTTGATCTAACATATGCCATCCCACCAGTCTATGCGAATCCGATTTAGCATTTAATTATAGCACAGAGGCAGACGATCATCAAGTGAGCGTGAGAGACCCGAAAAAACGTCGACGAATCCAATCGATCAGCGAACCCCAAACGCAAAATTGTTGCGCGCGCCAGAGACCGGACCAGGTCTTCGCTTTGGACAGTTATCGATCCGTAAAAAACGTACGACTATACATACGCCAGATGATGATTTATGCGTCTGGCTTAAGGGGATCAAATCACCTCGGATCAGCTCTCAATCTTGATGTGAGCAGATTTGCCAGCCCAAAAGATACATAGATACTCGTACGCGGCAGAAAGGAGAGAGAAGAGAGGCAGAGGCAGCACACAGAAACAGAAACTGCATATTGTGATTATGATTATTGGTAAATTATATTTAATTTACAGTTAAACGATCACGTATGTACGCCAAAGGCCCCGCGCAGATCTGAAGAGCAGCCGTAAAATGGTTTCGTCGGCTCCAAAAAATATTCCTCTCTCTCCAACTCCCGATCCCAATCCCAGTCCCAGTCCGACTCCAAGTCCGACTTGACCTCAATTATCGATTTAACTTTATTATTGGTTTTGATTTGGACTTTTTGATTTTCGGGGCGCATCTCGGCCGGGGCTCTGGCTGCAAAAAGTTGAAATTAAAAGGAATGCTGTTGATTGCTAGGTTCGCCCCAAAGGAGGAGGACGAGGACGAGGACGTATCTCCTCGGACGTATGTGTCGCTGTCGCTGTCGCTGTGGCTGTCTCGAAGTCCGAGCCAGTGGAGCATTAGGTGGGGGCTGGCTGGTCGCTTAATTCTCGTTAATTTCTCACAGGCAACGTGCAACGTTTAGCTGATTGTGGGTTTCCCGTTGTGTGCCTCCATCGCGGAGCCGATACCTAAATTGTGGCAATCATATTTTGTGTTAAATGCATTCATTTTAAATTTTATTGAAGGGTCCTTGCCCACATAACAGTTATTGCGGAATTTCACAGAAACTGGTTGACAATAAATCAGGGCTATATGATGAGTGGTTTGGCCCGAGAGAAACTGGGTTAATCATGGGAACCCTGAGATATAATATCAAGACAATTAAGGGTTAGATACACGTAGGTGGAAGATCTATTGATGCGAAAGAAGAGGTGATGAAAATCGATTGAGGAAGGCAAAGTTTAGGGGACATATGTTGGGGTATTATTATCAGAATCCAACGATCACCATTTGCTAATCCTTTCCCTAAAGAGCCTTCTGCATAGCCAGCCCCATAGATCATCTGTGAAACATCTAACAGCTCTTTCATTGTAGCTGTTGTCAGGCTTCATAGATCATGGCCCAGACAGCGCTGCTCCTTCTTCCCGATCGTGTATGCTGTTGACAAGCAACTGTCACCACCAGCGGCCCAGGCGCCATATTGTTGAGGCTCCACTTCCACCTCGGTGTACGCTGCCGCGGCTCCCATGGGGCAGCAGCAGCAGCAGCAGCGGCAGCAAAAAAACAGCTTGGCAGGCAATTTCCACACACAAATAAGCCGCCAATTTGCCCCCACTAGACCAGACAACGTGAACAAGGCAAGCAAAATCCACCAGACACTACGTCAACCGGTCAGACACGTGAACAAGGTACAGTGGGATCGAAAGGGTGAGGGAAGTGGGTGAGTTTTTGCTTCTTCTTCTCTTGGAAATCCCTTATAGATGGTATACAGTTTTTCCCTAACTAAATCTGTCCATTAAGATATAGTTTCTGTTCCGTGTCCTTCCAGACATCCACTCCCTTTGAGGACATATTTCAAGACCTCTAACCTTCTGCCAGACTACACGGAAGTCTCATCTAAAGCTTCTTTTATTCATTTCTCCAGTCATACCAGACTTCCTTGCACTTTTATCTGGGTCCTCTTTCCTCTTTTTAGTACCACAAAAGTCTCATATAAATGCAGATCTATCCCATAGTCCCTAGTCGAGGAAAGGGTCTTTCGGGCCGGGTCTTCTTCATGGTAGTTGGTGGAGTTGCTGGTTATAAATCAGTTTGTGCGGCTTTTAATAAATTGTAATTGAGTCGCGAGTCGCGACTGCAGCTCATAGATACATTTGTATCTGCTGTTTAGGTGCTTTTTAGCTTTTAGCTTACGGCTGCTCCTCCCCAAGTGCTCTGGCCCTGGCTGCGATTGTGATCGCGTGTGGGAATGCACAGGCCAGGCCGGGACCAGAGGCTGGGCCCCAGGAGAAGGCGAGGGCCAGAGCCACAGACGAGAGGCTCGATCCTTATGGCTGTGCTACGACGACCCCTCTGCTGTTGGCTGTTGGCTGTTGGCGATGTTGTTGCTGTTGTATACATGGCACTTTGCCGGCTGTCGCCACTTTGGCCAATCGGCCAGGGTCCCTACCGATCCTGCTGCCTCTCAACCCCGCCGTGGCATGCTCGAAAATCACGTAATGAAAAATGTTTTGTGCACAATTTTTCTTTTCATTTGTTTCGTGCTGCTCTCCGGCTGTGGCTGTGGCTGTGGCTGTGGCTGCTTAAAAAGATTGTTTTGTTTCGTTTCGTTGTTTGTGTGTGTCGAGCAGCAATAAAACTCATTGAACATGAGTTGCTTTTGAGGCAACATGAACAATTAATGCAACATATGTTTGCCCGAAACAAAACCTCACAGTGCTCTCGGATCTCGCGGATCTCGAAGATCTTGCAGATCTCGGGGAGCACTGGTACGTTACGAGTGGCTGAAGGAGAGATCTGCTCGGGTATTCCTTATGCCATTTAATGGCCAGCGAAACAAATCGAATTAGTTGGCAACGCAAAGAGTTTGCAGCACGCAACACAAAGAATTTGATAAATATAACTTGGGAATAGCCAGATGAAGGCGGAAATACTCTTTCTACGTCCTCGTTAGCTCTTTTGGGATAAGGGAATACTCATTCCTAGTAGCAAGTGACTCGATTCAGCTCTCACCTCCTCATCAAACGCCACAACGTTTGTGGAAAACCCTTTCGTGGCGCAGTGTATGCGAAATTAATTTCATAACAAAGATTACCTGCAACGCCCCCAAATCCAGCCAGGGCTGCCCCCTTCTGCGTCTATTACCTAAAACTAGATACCCACTATTTTTTCTAATTGAAACTCTTTCGAGAGCAGGCCAAATCGTTCGATCGATTGCCCAGATACGAATTAACCCAACAGATACGCAGCTGCAATCACACCGATTGCCATTCGCATATGAAAAATTGTAGTTTTAATTGTATCTACGAGTGGGTTAGGCCCACACAGCCCCAATCCCAATCGAATGCAGACCCAGGACCAGGGGCATCGCTTCTTTAATTGCTTTGCAGCTTTCCGTTCGGTTTCGGTGGAGAACTCGTATTTGTTTTGACTTTTGGGGCGGGCAATTTATGGCTTATCATTTTTTGTGCCTTTAATTTCTGTTTTTCCTTTTTGTGGGTGGGTGTGATGGTGCGGGCCGGGCGAGCAGGTGGATTCCCTGGGTTATGGGTCAGTCGGAATGCTCAATGCTGCTTAATGCTGGGTATATTTCATATCCTGGACTTCTTTATTATGGGCTGGAGCTGGGTGCCAGGCCCAAGAAGACTTACAACAGGTGGCCAAGTGTTATATCTGGGTTTGGCAGCAAAAAAGAGGGGTTAAAGGGGTGTTGGGATGCGATTTGGACTGGGATTAAGAAAGGGGCGAAGAAAGGCTATAAAAGCAATAAAAATACTGTATCTTATAGGTATTTTCTTGGGTATCTGTCTCCTATCTTAAGGTATCTTTTAGCTGCATTTAGGGCGAATATCCGCCAGATTAAACCCTCTATTTTGTTTGGCTGCTCTCTATCCCTATATCCCTGGGATACCCTCGCTCCAGGACTCCACATTCTAGCCCCTGACATCGACAGGTGCTGCCTGCTGCTGTTTAATTTACCGCCATATAACCTTCTTGCCATTTCTTTGTCAATTCGAATGCAATTTTTGCAGGAACAGCAGCAGCCCAGCCCGCAGAAGCCGCAACCAAAATCCGCTCAGAGCACA